AACTTTATATGTTAAGAGCACATTTGTTTGGGATATTAAGAAGGGGATTGAAAGTGGAGGGAATATGCGGGGTTCATTAGATTTTTAATTCGATATTTGAGTGTGGGATAAGAAGAAAATGATTAGAGATGAAAAGAAATTAAGAATTGTAGTATTATAATGATTATACCTCTTCACATAATTGTTATTCTTGAAGGGTAAAAAATATTAAAATATTTTTATTTCATCACAATCAAAAATATTTTACCAACATTAAATATCAATATTAAATATAAGAGTATAAGAGTCTAAGAAAATAATATAAATCAAGAAAAATGACTTTATAGAATAAAAGTATAAATACATAAGACTAAGTAGGTTAAAAAATTTCTTCATAGACTTTTGTGTTAAAACACTTCTAAATGAGATTTATCAATAAAAAGCCCTTATTTTAATGATTCGAATTATTTTATATAGTTTGCTTAGAAGATCATCCATGTTAGAGATCAAATTAATCAAATATCGATAATCACTTAATCAGATTACATTTGCTTAAAAAATAGATGATCTACTTCAAAAAGGTTCTTTTTTTATTAATTATTTTTTTTTTTTTAAAAAAAATTATGTTTTTGTCATTTTTCTTTTTTTATACATTAATTAGTTCTTCTTCTTTAATTTACGTTTTTTGCGTTATTTATTTTTATTGGTATATAATAATTTTTTTTTTTATTTTTTAAAAATGAGTTTTCATGTGTTTTATTTATTTGTAAATTACGTGGCGAATGGTAATTTATGTTTTTATGATGTTTTTTAAATGTTTTTGAATGAGGCGTATTTTTGTCGTTTTTTTTTAATTTACGTTTTTGTCATTTTTTTATTTGTGCACATTAATTTGTTTTTATATTTGAAAAATGGGTTTTCATATGTTTTATTTCTTTGTAAATTACTGTTTTTTGTTTTTTGTTTTTTTGTTGATGAGGCGTATTTTTGTCGTTCTTTTTTTTTTAATTTACGTTTTTGTAATTTTTTTTTTATTTGTATACATTAATTTGTATTTATATTTCAAAAATGGGGTTTCATGTGTTTTATGTATTTGTAAATTACGTGGCAAATGCTAATTTCTGTTTTTTTAAATTTTTTTTTTTGGATGAGCCGTATTTTTGTCATTCTTTTTTTTAAAATTTAAGGTTCTGTCAAATTTTATGATGTATACATTAATTTGCATTTATATTTCAAAAATCGGGTTTCATGTGTTTTATTTATTTGTAAATTACGTGGCAAATGCTAATTTCTCTTTGTTTGTTTTCATTTAAAATGATGTGAAAAATCATACATTGCTGTGGCACATGACCAAAAATGGGTGAACAGTTGTGGTTTTTTGTTGTTTTCAATTGGTGTTTTCATGTTTTTAATTGACGTCGCACGTGATAATTTCTGTATTAGTTTTTTTTTTTTTGTTCTTATTTGTTTCACCTTGTTTTCTTTTTCGAAAAGGCTTTTTTCTGTAGTTTTTGATTTTTCGAAGTTAGGCACGTCACCAACTGAAAGGGGGTATATTCCCGTGTAAACACATACATATTGTACATGATAATATACAATAATACAGTCTGTTCCACGTGTGTTACCAATGTTACAACCCTACGAATATTAGGTCGACTATTATATATTTCCTAACGTTCCGTTATTACGCATGTAACATAACTTGTCGCGTATGCAAAGGCGCACCAATGCCATATGCGGGTCCCCATCCCCAACCATTAAACCATCCTCTTCATGTTCAACTTCTGGTATGACATTTACTATTGTCATAGCCTCTTCCTCGTCACAGCTTGGGTGAATAGTTGTTGGATTACCTGTGTTTCGCCGTATATAATTATGTAATGTCATTGATGCACCTACTAACTGAACTTGCACATTCGCAAAGTCATACCGAGGCATGTCTCGAATAAACCCCCATCGATTTTTCCAAGCACCGAAAGTGTGTTCCACCACACTGCGTAACGACGAGTGAACTTTGTTAAATAATTCCCTTGGCGTGTTTGCGGTCCTGTTCCGTTGAATACGTCAGAATTCTTGTTGGTGGTAACGGCTGCCTCTGAATGGTGCTAAGTAACCTATCTGGTTTGCATAGCCAGAATCAACAAGATAATATTTGCCTGTAGACAGGACAACAATGTATGACACCAAAAACAAACATTGTGCTTCATTTTCAAGTAACGCTGTTTGACATAAAATTATAGCCCCATCAATGCAGAATTCATGGCACTATGTTACCTTCGTCAGGATGTGGAAATGAGACATTGTCATTTGTAAGTATCTCGTTGAAGATGCGACTATCATGCATACTTCCTTCACTTCCGCACGAAATGAAGATGAAACACATGTCAAAATCGACCGCGGCCATGATATTTTGCGTCTGACAGTATTTCTTACTGAAATATGTCGCCGCATTTGGCCCCGTAACCCATGCACTTACATGTGCTCCGTCTATTGCGCCAATACAGTCCTGCAAACAACCCAGTTATTTGATTGCTTAAACGGGTAACAAGTAATGGTTTTTTTCGTCACGTCACGTCCTGTTAATAATAAAAACAAAATAACTGCACTTGTCCCACCTATATGTCAATAATTTTTTTCAGTAGTATCTTGAACGGTAGGTATTTTTGTCTAGACTGCACATACAGATGTATACGATGCTGATTGTATGTGGGCTAGCAATGAACAACAGTAAACTCTTTCATAGAAGTTAATACGTTATGCACGTGCCGAGACATAGTCTCCCCCGAATGTTGGAAACGTTCTTGGATTTGCCGATTTTGCATCCCTTGCAACACGTGGAGAAACATTGCAACGCTTTCTTCAACAGCTAAGCCATGTGGACGTTGCGGTACTTGTAACGCAAAATCATTTACTAATGTCTCACACAAAGCGGCAAAATTAATACGTTATGCACGTGCCGAGACACAGTCTCCCCCGAATGTTGGAAACGTTCTTGGATTTTCCGATTTTGCATCCCTTGCAACACGTGGAGAAACATTGCAACGCTTTCTTCAACAGCTAAGCCATGTGGACGTTGCGGTACTTGTAACGCAAAATCATTTACTAATGTCTCACACAAAGCGGCAAAAACTTCCGTCGGCATGCAAACATTTTCCTCAAATCGACCCATATGACCCGCATATAGTTCGCATATCCATGCATGCCCGGTCAATATCGAAGTGCGACATGGCGTTTTAGCCATGTGTTTTTTGTACCATTCTGTCGCATACTGACATGCTTGTAGAAATGTGCAGTTGTGTTCTTGTTGCACCTGGACCGCCATTTGATTAAGCATTTCCCTTAAATCGTCATTGTTGCTTCCATCCCAGGGATTCGTCACTTCCTTTGTTGATGCGAAACCTACAAGAGTGGCACTATTTCAATTAGTTTGCACGTGATTCACTGACTCAAATTATATTGAAGTTTGCAATTAAAGAATGCCGACATTGTTTTTAATGTAAGTAACGCCATCACCAATGTCATTACTAACGCATAATGATATGAATTGAACAAATTGTGAACCTGGTCGTTATTGTTTACAGGGGGACCATGGTGGTAACAACCACAAAAAATGACGTCAAACTAAACTAACAATTATAAATTTGCAAAATATAGACATACAAAAGCGAGCAAGAAAACCGTTGTTGCGCATTTCATTGCCATACATTTAATTAAAACAGAAGTATCCCATTCCTTTCCCAAAAAACATGCACAACCATGCTTCCATTCCGTCTACGACAAACCTAACTAAAAGTTTTGTTCACCATAGCTAGCAAGAAAAAAAAACAAGAAGGAAGAATAAAAACATGCAAACACAACCATCCTGTTTTAATACAGTGCCAACAATAACATAAGTAAAAGTTTTCAAAAGCAAGAGAAAGGCAGGCTTCTTCAACAATCCTAACACCGCTACATCACATCCGGCGAGCCCCAAACAGGTTCACAAACGGCACCGACGCAGTACACTAGAGCTGCTTTTGTGTAAGCCACCCTATGATGTGGTCGTCATCAGGCTGGCACATTATCACCTCCCGGTAATATGCGTCATCCATAAGTGTCAAGGCGAAATGGAATAGCGGCGTACCAATCAGGGATGGAATAGTGGCGTACCAATCAGGGATGGAATACTCATCAAGCGATGCATGCACTCTGAAATAGTGTACAGCGATTCATTTCCTGTGAGTTGCCTCATCGTAACTTGCTGATTCTTCGTACGCACCACATTTGTTAGATTGTTCATGCTTTCCACAATAACTGACGCTCCACTTGTTGCCTTCTTCGACTTTGAAACACTTGTTGATGACGTCTTTCTCCTTTTTCCCTTTTCAATCGGAACATGCTCCAGTGAAGAATCTGAATCCATGTCCTGTACTCCTGCGGGTATAGGATCAGCAAATGGCTGGGCTCCCAAACTATGCACTGAATTAGATGAGTCATCAGCAGCTTCAGGAAGTTTCTCTCCCGGGGTCCAATGGTGCTTACCAGTAGCTGATACCCCCATGAAGACCGTCTCCATCAAGTCACGATGTTCCAAGGTTTTTTTCCTGAACTTGGCACACACCTTGTTTATCTGTAGAAAGTGAGATATATGAAAGAGAAAGATGTTACATTTCATATAATTAATTAAAGTTAACGAAAAAGGTTGAAAATGTACTGGTAACAGACAAATATGAAACTTGTTTGTACATGTACTTACCTATTCCATCTTGTCCCATCACTCTTCAGGTACCTGAAACATACCGGTGTCACAGTCAAACCCTATCCCTGACACTCCTTTGCTTGAATCCATCAACTTTGTCCATGCTTGCCACTCTTTTTTCAAACTCATGTATTTATTCTTCAACTGTTTCAGGCCATGTTTTCTTCCTGTTTTTTTTTCTCAAATTTCCTTGCCAAGGACTTGTACCCTGCTTGGCTGAGAACTAGGAATGGGTGATTTCCTTTTGTAATCTCATTTGCAATTAACTGCAGGAAAACTTGGATTGAGTCACTGTCCCATGAGGCCTTGTGGCTGAACTGATTATGTGTCTCTTCAAGACTGCTTGACTTGTCTGTGACAATGCCTTTGCTTTTGCATTGGGTACGCGGAGAAGTACGTATGGAAGCCATTACTAATGTACGGTTACAAAAGATTACCATCACAAATTCGGTTGTTATATACAAACGCATAAGCCATTGCACATTAATAACAACAAACAGAGAGATAGGATGCTAAATTAGACAGCATATCACCATTGCACATTAATAACATACATACACAGGTTCCATGGAACTCAGTAGTGGACATAGTTATGATAGTCATTACTAGGTCTACCGTTTCGTAGTGGAGGAAGGCAAAGGCAACTTAAAGTCATACTAAAACATACTACCAACATATTACCAACATACTAACAACCTCATAACGTGTTTGTACATACTGACAACATCCTAACGTTGCTTACATACGGAACAACAAAATGACAGCGACAACAGGTTCCATGGAACTCAGTTGTGGACATAGTTATGATAGTCATTAATAAGTCTACCGTTTCGTAGTGGAGGAAGGCAAAGGCAACTTAAAGTCATACTAAAACATACTACCAACATATTACCAACATACTAACAACCTCATAACGTGTTTGTACATACTGACAACATCCTAACGTTGCTTACATACGGAACAACAAAATGACAGCGACAATGCATAGCACATAGACAATGGTCTTAAGGACACGCAAGGATTGTTGAATGTCTATGACATCAGCTCGCAATTGCATGACAATTTCGTCTCTAGGTGACGCATAGTCTTGGTTCTCTCGCCTTGGTTCTTCGCACCAACCAATCCAATTGGCACAGGGGTGATGAGTGCAAATGATGGAACTATTAGTCAATGGGTTGTTAATGTTCATGTAGTTATGACCGGTAAATAATGGTCACTCACCACAGGGCGGGGACATGCAAAGTAGGGACGCCCTGGATTTTTGGTGGACCTGGAAATCTTAACAATACAGGGGCCATGTCCACAGGCACACATTCGTCGTGGCCATGTACTGGAAGTTGCAGTAGAGGTAAACGAAGCCATGCTATGCTTTACAAACATACGGAAGTGATAATGAATCATATAAGTAATTAATTTATGTTATCCATATATCAGGTTAAACATGAACTGATAGTTCATACGCTGATGCACAAGTTAAACACATATGTATGAAGCATAGGGGAAAATCCAACGGTTTGGATTTCGTGCCATAGTGAAGCATAAAATCCGCATAACATATGGAGCTCTACAAGGAGAATGAAGCATGAACCAAAGTAATTAAATATGGTGTTTTGTTATGAATAGGACAGGGATGGTTTGTATCAGAACTAAATGGTTTCACCGTGGAGGTGATCTAGAAAAAGAAGACCAAGGCCAGGATTGGTCAAAACATATAAGTAAAAAAAAAAAAAAAAATTAAGATGGATACAAACATGAAGAGAACACGAACCCATAAATGTAATGCAATGTGATATACATGTATGTACAACCAAATGGTTCGATCATAATACACTTGTCAGTTGTCGCTGACGGAGTAGTTGTGTTTGAAGAAGTGAAGTTGTGTTTGACGGAGTAGTGGTGTTTAACAAATCAATTAAAAACGTTTATGTTATCCATAATAGTTGTGAATACGCTGATGCACAAAAACAACAGAGGGAACGCTTTCAGATTTATGAATACAATAGCAGAGGGTTTTATTCAGATTTACCAATGCTAGCAATACATAAATTTACATTTATTTCTTCATTCACTAATGTACGTTACCAATGTTACAAAACAGAAATTTGTAGCAGAGACACAGATTTCATTCACAGAACCCATTCAGAGACTCACAGATGTGATTCAGATATTTCATACACAGGACCCATTCAGATACTCACAGACTCACAGATTTGATTCACATACTCACATATGTGATTCACAGATTTCATTCCCAGGACCCATAAACATTTCAGATCTCATCTTTCATTCACAGAATCAGATTTCATTCAGCATTGACAAATCAATGCGTGTAACAGATCTGAAATGTTTTATGAGGTAATGAAATATAAGAAATGCAAGCTACTAGTGTTTAAGAGAATGAGAATTATAAGAAATCAACTTCAACTTCTGATATGAAAATGTTCACAGAATCAGATTTCATTCACAGATTGAACTTTCCATTTGTTTAACAGACATGATGGAGAGATGTGATTTCATGAACTTTCCATTTGATTCACAAACTCACAGATGTGATTCACAGAATCAGATTTCATGAACTTTCCATTTGATTCACAAACTCACAAATGCGATTCACAGATTTCATTGACAGGACCCATAAACATTTCAGATTTCATCTTTCATTACAGAATCAGATTTCATTTAGCATTGACAAATCAATTTGAATAACAGATCTGAAATGTTTTATTAGGTAATGAAATAAAAGAAATGCAAGCTACCAGTGTTTAAGAGAATGAGAATTATAAGAAATCAACTTCAACTTCTGATATGAAAATGTTCACAGAATCAGATTTCATTCACAGATTGAACAAAATGCTAATTCTGTTGTTTATATAGATACATGGAGACAGGGTGTTTGTAAATTCAGAATGTTTGACATGGAGCCATTGGCAGAGTTATGAACACAGAAAGTTCGTTTTCAGAGAACTTGCAAAAAAATTGGTATACAAATTCCAGAAATGACAGGGAAAAATTGGGAAAACATATGAACTGCATGTTTCATATTTGAGAAAAATCTAATTTCAGCAATGAGATTTCAGGTGAGGCACAACAGTGAGTTTTATGAAGAAAATAATTTTGATTTTAGATTGGGTGACAAATCAGGATGTAGAAATTGCAGATCTCACAAAAAAATAGGTAGGAAAAAAAACAGAAAATGGGTGTTCAACTTTGAAATCATAGGGTTTACGATTCAGATATCGTAATGTGAAGAAAATGTGTTTTCAACCACTAATCAGCCGTATTTTTTATTTTCCATGACAGATTCAAAATCGGAGTGAGGTTTTGCATCTATATCCACACAGATATAACGGTGGGTTTCCCATTCTACAAACCGAAATGAAAAAAATGTAACCCAAAGTGGAGGAAAAATTTTTAAGCAGCAACAACAATGGGTTCTAAAGATCAAATCACAGATCGGGTTGAAGGAAAGGGTATTACGCAAACAAACCCCCCCCCCCCCAAAAAAAAAAGGGAAAGCTTAGTTTACCTTCAAATTCCAGATCTTTGAGAGCCTGAGTTGTAGGGTCGCCGGCGATATGAACTCCGGTGGCGCACCAATGTCAATTCTGTCGTCGTTCTTCTTCCCTTCAAGTGCCGATTGGATCGCCTCGTTTGCTTCAGCTCCAAAGTGGATGACCTAACTGGTGCGAAATGTGTTCGAGGGTGTGATAGTGTGAACACCGATCCAGGGGTAATTTGGTAATTTCACCCCTCCTTGTATGTAAGATACAATTCAAACGGAGGCTGAATGTGTTTTTGTCGCGTTGTGAGATACAATTCAAACGGAGGCTGAATGTGTTTTTGTCGCGTTGTGGCTAATTTAGCCAATTCTGTCATGTAGTGGGTAAATTAGCCCACAACTCTCTTGCCACACTGGTAGCTCGCATTTCTTATATTTCATTACCTAATAAAACATTTTGACCGGGACAGATTTACACCCCTATTATTATGTTTGAAAATTCTATATAAAATTTATGTTTTTATATCATCACTCAATAAGAATATGTTTAGGTAAAATTTAATGATGGAAAGTTATAAAATGTAGTCATGATGATAGGAAGAATAAATGATAAGAAAAATGATAAGATGGTCATTTAAAAAATTTTAAGGCATGACATCAGCAATTCAGGGGTCAATTTGTAATGAGATTACAAATCTCAAAGAGGAGAATGTAATTTTTCAATTATGAGAAAAAATTTGTATTAAATAGAAACCTCAGGGGGTGTCAGTGTAATTTACCTAATAAAAAACTATAATAGAAACAAATAAAAAAATATAAGTAACTCTAAATAATATAGAAATATAACAAATAATATAGATAACAAATAAAATAAATCAATATTTGATAAAATTTAATTTAGAAATTATTTTTAAAATTTTGTAATATAAATAAGGGAGATTTATTAGAAAATCATTTTTCAAGTGTTTGTATTGCAATTAGTCCATAAGATATTCTTGTATTCTAATAAGTCATATTATTTGAACATTTGATCTACCGAACCTAATTCTCATATTTAAAGTATTTTATGAACATTTCTACCCTTACAAATATTTTTTGAACGGTTAGCAATTTGGTGATGTGAACATTCATATTTTACAATATGAATATTCACATTGACAGTGTGAACATTCATATTTACATGTTAACATTCATATTGATAGTGTGAACATTTACATTGACGGTGTGAACATTCACATCACGGAACATTCACTGTAAATGTGAATATTATTAGGGGTATTTTGGTAACTATATCACTCATAAGGCTTATTGAAACGTAAGAAAATAATGTGGACTAAATGAAACATAAGTAGGTGAAAATGGATTTATGAAAAAATGCCCCTATAAATAATTAAGAAAGTGAGAATTACTAAAATTTTAAGAAAACTTAATACTCTAATTTAAAATTATTTTATTAATTATTTATATAATATATATAATTTTTTAGAAATTTTAGGAGTGCCAAAAAGAAGTCATAATGAGAATGATTTAACTTAAGCCACATTGGAATCTCAAAGTACAAAATAAGAGTTGCATCATTTAGAAACAATACAGAGAGAGAGAGAGAGAGAGAGAGAGATTTGATTCTCATTTGTGCAATATTCTGAATCATGGCTCTTGGGGTAGAGAATTTTTTCCAGGAATCTTCAACTTATTGGCAGAAAATCCACAATCATTTGTATCATCAACAATGGTTGATCTATTAGCATCAACTACTGGCAATGCATAGGCTTTGTCTTTCTCAGTTGCTGTCAATGTTGTTTCTGAGATTAAAGAGTCTTTACTTTTCCCCCACACCACTGAGTATAATCCAAACACTATTATGATTGCTCCAATTAAACTGAGATCACAAGCAACCAACAACCAAACAGCATTGTCAATTAATTGAATTAATAATCAGTTTCAATCTGTATAAATATTTATTTATTTAATTTTTTTTTTCGGATAAGATTCAAATAATGTAAATCATGTCAATTTCCTAATTTCTAAATGGAAGAAGGACTTCCCTGGATAATTAGATTCAAGAGCCTAGTTAAGGGGTTTGTAGGCCCTCCTCGAATGTAACACGGTTATTTAAATGGTCTATTTTATAGTATTTGTTAAATAAATTATTCATATAAAAATGAGATTGATAAGATATTAGTAATCATGGGATTTGATCACAATTGTAATACAAAATTGGTAGTCTATTTTTGAAATAATACTTGTCTAACTTTTTTTTTGTTTTTTATGACAAATTTTCTTACATGACTGATCTACTCGTGGGATGTTGAAAGATGAACTGTTTGGATGATTAAAAATGAGCCCAAAATTTGCCCACAATCCTTTTATAAATAGCATTATATGAGTTTGTGAGTTGATTTTGAGGGAGAAATGCAGTTTGGGATCCTTTTATGAATAGCATTAAATTCAAATTAATTATGTCATTGTTAAAATCTAGAAGTTCATTAATAATTTTAAAAATAAATTACATTAAATTCAAATTATAAGGATATGACAACAATGGAAGGATAAAACATAAAGTTAGAATAGAGAAAACGAACAGAGGATCCAAAGACGGGAAACTGTGGCAAAATATATACCTGCCAAGGTGGATTTTTTCCGCCAAGACGATGGCACCGAGAACGGCGGTGATGATCATGCAGAGAGGGCTGAATGCTGTGATGAACACCGGACCTCGAACCTTGTTCACTACACCTTGCACATAATATGCTACTCCGGAGCAAACTACCCCCGTTCATCATCATCAAGTTCAGTTTTTAGTTCATCACCCCCCCCCAAGCAAAAAAAAGCATTTTTTCTATCAATAAAATCTCTTTTGTGCTAAAAAAAAAACATCCAATTGATTGATTGGTTGTCAAATTTGTTAAAACTTAACACATATGAAACTAAACCCTCAGGAAGAAAATGAATTCCAGGATCAAACTCTATATTACTCTATATTATGTATTGATATCAGCAATATGATCATATGGTCACATATCAGTCAATATCAGACAGTGTGATACTTACAGAATAAACTGCAGCAAGAAGTCTCGAGTCAAAACCGACCACCCAGGCACTCATGTCGCGTTCCATAGCAAGTGCCACGGCTGCACCTTCCACCATGCCCATCAAGCATATTGACGCCGTCAAAGACAGCTCTGCTGGATATTGCTTCAATGTAATTGACTGAAAAAAGAGAAGGATCAAATAATTACTTGTATCCATTCATATGTACTCTATGTTCAATTGTATGTTTGATTTCTGTGCTCGTAACAAAACTATACATAAAACATTCAAAACCTATTTTTTTTTTTGAAAAATATTTCAGAGCTCTAGAGCAAGAGCTCTAGAACTGCTCTAATGATGTGGCAACTGTGTGAGTCTCACATTGATGTGATATTTTGGCTTAACTTTTTTTTTTTTTTTTTTTTTTTGAAGTTGCCAGCTCAGTAGAGCTCTATTTTTAAAGTTACCAATCACTGCTGTTTTTTTTTGTGTGTAAATAATGTCGAGGAGGGGGGCTTACTTGCACAATGAAGAAACCAGACCAACCACAAGTGCAGGCAAGGATCATGAATGTCCCCATGACCCAATGCTGATCAGTAGAGGTACTATTGGTGGTGTTATGATGGTGATTTCCTGATTTGGAGTACCATAAGATATCAACAATAGCGCCTTTATACAAAGTCATCACCATTGCTCCTGTTACTGTGATCACTGTTCCAACCACCTTTGCTACACTTTATATCTTCTTCAAATTCACTTTCTCCAACCTATTCATCATCACATGAACAAATATATATATATATATATATATAATATTGATGAAGATGAAGCAGAGATCATCATGTGTACAATTTAGTTGAATTGATGAAGATGAAGCAGAGATCATCATGTGTACAATTTAGTTGATTAGTGGTAATTTCAGAAAATTATTACAAATTCATGAAAAAGTTTATGTTTTTAGTTATTAATATTTATAAAATTTATTACTTATTTGCAATTATTTTTTAAATTACCTCTGAAGTGAAATTTTGCCACATAAAAATATTATTCTCATACTATTATGTATAAAAATCCTTATTGTTTAACACTTTCTAAAAAAATGTCGGCAAAAGGTGATAACATGCAGAAACACATGTTCTTACCAATTAGTAAGTAATATTACGGATTCATAAAAAATTGACAAAAAAAGTGTCAAAATTGCATTTATTGTGGTAGAATATGTAGGCCTATCCAGAATGAATACAGTGCTCTTAGCATAACATTTTAGACACTTTCTTGGTTTTATTTATTTTAATTATTTTTCTTTCTTTCTTTTTTTAAAAGGTTTGTATGATTTTCTTACCACCATGCATCTATAAAAATATATTTAAGAGTTTTGACAAAAAACAATATATAGTACAAGATCATAAAATAATTTTCCTAATGGTTGTGCTTCTATGAAAAATTCTAAATGTACATAATTAGATCATATAACCAAACACAACCCACTTTCATATGAGATTGGGTCTACAAATGCATGAACCCTGCTCTACATGAAAAAAATTTGTCTGGTTTTTTGATTGAATTTTGTTTACGTAAATGTCTAAATTAAGAGCTAGGATTTTAAAAAAAAATAATAATAATAATAACCAAAGTCCCAACTGACCTTTGTTCATGAGTTTTGAACTAGGAAAAAGTGAAAAAGTAAAATTTTACGCACATGAAAGTCTATATTCTAACATCATCCTTATATGTAAAGAGTGGGTGCTTAGAACATTACTCTAGTAAACCGAGTGCCATTATTTTTAGGAACACTGAGAGTGTCATCTTTGGCCTTATTTTCCTGTAAACAAAGAGCACAAATGATGTGAATCAGTTATGTTATTACGATGTCAATGACAAACTATTATTAACTCAATAAACATAGAAGCTGATATAAAAATGAAATCTTAGGTTTTAGTAATGTAATAGTGTGTATAACTTGTATTTTATCTTGCATTAATAATATGTTTAGGTTTTAGACTCGACATAAAAATGAAATCTTAGGCCCCAAGGTCTATGGACAATTGAGGCATTTGACGATGCAATTTTATTTTGAAAATTTTGAAGACTCAGATAATATGTCAACTTACTTAGATATGTGTCATGTAACTTGTAAGTGTGAGTTATTGACTTCATTGTACCATTCATTTTAAAGTCATGCAGGCTCAACGCTAGCCGCTAGCCCATTGCGAGCGAGGCTCTCATTCACCCGCTTGAGGTCCCATATGTTTTGAAGGTCTTAAAATTTTATTTTCTTTCATATTTGTCAAAAGGTTCCATTGGGGGAAAAAAAAAATATCCTTGCTAACTAGAGACCATCCAAATTAAAAAGACCATGTCTAAATGCTAAACAAAATTAAAAACCGTCTTTGTATCCATAAAAAAAAGAGTTATCCTTAGGCCTAAAAGCTTAATAAAGCGCTTTTTGTCCAAAAGGGCCAAAAAAAAAAAAAAAAAAATGATATAAAGGCCCAACAAAAATTAAATGAAAAATTACCATCCAGGGTAGATTTTGAAAAATTATTACATATTGGTGAAAAAATTTATAATTTTAATTATTAATATGTATAATGTTTATTATTTTTTTGTAATTTTCTTTCCTAACACCACTGAGGTGTAATTTCATTTCCCCCCAAAAAAAAAAAAAAAACCCCTTTTGTCCAAATATCTCCAAATAAATTTGTTATTAATATTAGGCCGTCCAACCAAAAAAAAAGAAAAAGAAAAAGCATCTCTCCTCATTTTGAGGATGTGTTATTGGAGAATCGAATTGATCATAACCATTCAATCAACATGGTAGTATGTACTATTATTATTATTCGAAAATGGACAGCAATGTCTTTTGATTATTGAGTACAAAAGCATTTGGGAGACAAATTCCCCGAAAAGAAAGAGAAGTTGGTGCTTTCAATCTTGGCTTCCAACTTAGAAAGAAAAATCAATTAGCCACCACACAGACCCTTCTCTCTCTTTTAGAGTACGTAGATATTAAATTATGAGAAATGTTTGACGGAATTGAAATCTCAAGGAGAATGGTCCGTTTGGTGTAGTTGTTAAAACAACTTATAGATTATAACTTAACAGATTATACATTATGACTTTAATCAGAAGTTATTAATCTATTTGGTGTAGCAGTTAGATTATATATTTAAATTGCTGAGTAGTGTTTGTTAAATATGCTGTGAAATAACTTTTTCAATTATTTTTTATTTTTTGTTATTTACTATTTGTCTACATTTCTCATAAAAAATAATAATAATAATCTATAGTCCATTTGGGTCTTTTTATATTTTAAAAAAAATAAAAAATAAAAAAATCTAAGAGTATAACCATAAATTAATATATCCATAGCAGAAGCTGATAATCAGAAACAAGGGGTGAGTAGCTTTTCAAAATCAGTTTTTTTGAGTTAAAATAAGCTATTAGAATTAGAAATTGTTTGAAATAAGTTTAACCAAACAATTCAAAATAACTTTTTTAAACCTAAAAGTTATAAATTAGCTTTGAAAAGCTGAAACAAACACCTCTAATGCATGGTAGTAGGTAGATATTGCGCATAAAGAATTTTGTATTTTTTTTGTTTTTTTTTTTTTGGGTGATTGGAAGAAATCATCTGAAAACTGTGTATGAATCATGATCATGAGATGTGGTTGAGAATTTTTAACTCCCCACCAAAAAAAAAAAAAAAAGACAAAAAAACAAACAAAAGTCAGTGTTCCTTGCTGTTGTGTATTACTCATGCCACTGAGCTTTGTCCTCGATAAATTTTTGATAGGAAAATGTTATTCTTTTAAAATTTTGGGTTAATTATATTTTTCATCACTGAATTTGACTCAAATTTTATTTTAATTCCTATAATTTAATTTTAATAATTTAGCCCTACACCTTTAAGTCTAATTTTAATGTAAATTTTTCGTCAAAATTGGAGGTTAAAATTAATAATTTTGAAAAATTTATCAAATTTTTAGAGTGCTGCTGTTAGTATCTCATCAATTATTTTAGGCCCCCATTTTTTTAATTATTATTATTATTATTATTATTATTATTATTATTATTATTATTATAATAATAATCTCAAATGAAATTATTAAAAAAGATATCAATAATTTGGGACACACCATCTTACAATTAAGCCTACACACCCATTACATCATGAGTTAGGGTTTATAAGAGCACTCACCTTCATTACCACTCATCCATCTTCTGTAAATCTCACCTTCAAAACCCACCTACCTACAAAACCTTGATAATCTTTGGCGGCAATATTCCAGCGGTAATGGTAGTAACCATTTGATTACCTATACTTATCCGGCAATGACAATGAATGGATGTTTTTTTAACAACCATAACTCCATGAGACGAGAGTAGTACAACAATAAAAACTCAGAGGAAGTTCATAACTTTGATGGTGTTCTTAGCTCAAAGGAGATTGACATTGTGAGGGTAAGTTTCTTAAAAAAAAAAGGACAAAACTAATAAAAATTGTTCGTCATTTTTTCGGGACTGAACTCTCGAACATATGATTAAACTTCAGAAATACAAGCCCGAATATTGTTTATTTGTTCAGAAAGAGATAATCGAACATTTCTTATTTGTTAGGAAACAGATAACCGAACATTATTGATGAACTTTTTTCAAACTTTAAAATTACAAAACCTAGGTAAGATAAGGAACAAGAATTGAAACTGCCAGCGAATTCAAAGAAACCCACTTTTTTTTTTTTTTTTTTGATCAACCAAAAAGAACCTTTATTGATGAAAAACTATACAAGAGATGAGATTACATCAAAAAAGAGGGGAGGGAGGGGAGAGCAGCATGCATCATAACGACCTGACCCAATCCCAACTAGGTTGGCATCGAGAAGATAGCCTAGTCATCTGCAAGCTCAACCCCAGGAGTTTGGTGAGGAACCAAACTCGACAGAAAAAATGCAAAAAACAAAAAACCAGGCAAATTATAGACAAAAGACATAGTGCCTGTTTGGTGCAGCTTAAAAGCTGCTTATTTCAGCTTTCAGCTTAATTTAAGCTATTTTGATGTGTTTGGTTTAGCTTATAGCTTATAGCTTTTTGGAAGTCAGAAATCAGCTTATTCTTTGAGTTGGGCAGGAGATGCTTAATTTATAAGTCAGAAATCAGCTTATGTTCATAGTTATAAGCTATAAGCTGTTTAGGCATAAGCTATAAGCACTTTCCCACAACTCTACCAAACAGGGTCATAGCATAATAGCTAACAACAACATCAACTGATAGAATCACTCAACAGACCCCTAGCAGCCCATAAACAACCACAGACCCCAGCAGAATGAAAAAAAGAAAAAAAAAAAACTCCAGCCATAAGACAATACTGACAAAGGCGAAAACTGAGAATCACAGAGACCAGCCGAGCATATCAATTCATCAAACCCAGAAACTTGCAGCCACCATCAGAACTGAACAAAACAACAGTAGTCCAACAACAGTTTAGCATTACCAACAAAACAAAAAGATTTGCAGCCATTTTCCACCCAGGACTTGCATCCAGCATCACCAACAGACTTAACAGAGCGCCACTATTGAGCATAGCAGACCAAAGCACCACTGTAGAAATGCCCAAGGTCTATTGAGGACTATATAGCCTTGGAATTGCATAATGAGACGATAAGTGATATTGAAGCCACAACGCAAAAGTCGATTGAGATGATTGTTAGTAATTGGATCACATTTGAGGACCAATCACAGTTACGACTTCAATTGACTGCCGTATGGTAGTTGGTCCATGCATCATTTTCC